GCAGCAGCTATAATCGGGAGAAAGAGCATGTTCCAGGAAACAGGAGTCATTCATTGCCCCACGTGTGGCCATGCTTCCCTCCTTCACAAGGCGGTCGGTCCTGCTTTCCTTCAGAGTTGCTGCGAGAACCAGATCTTGAATCTGAAAGATAGGAACCCCTGAGTCCTTCTGCATATTTGAGGAGTTACTTTTATAACTCAGTTTCTACTGTGTGAGAGGCCGTCAGTTTCACCGGTATTGGCCATTGGCCTGTTACGGGGCGGTTCTGTGCTCAGAGCTGGGCATGGAGCACTGACGGGCTGTTAGCTTGCATCACCGTTCAGGTTCGTCCAGAGCTCTGCTGGGTGCAAGGGTCAGCAGACTTCTCAGAAAGAGCAGGAGAGCAAACATTGGAGGCTCTCTGTGGTGGGAGCCCAGCTCAGAGTCACTGCCTGCCGGTCGGAGCTGAGCACACTTCTGTGTGGACGTGGGAATTCAAGTTTCGGTCATTTTCACGATTGTGAAATGCTCTTTCGTTTCCACCTCTGCATTTAGGAATGTGAACAGTGAGTGCTCCTCTGGGGATAATGCTCCCAGGCGTTCCCGATGCTCCAGCCTCCGACCTAGAATCGTTGCGGGGCTTGCTGCAATAAGAGCCTCAAACGAAGCTAGTCCCAGATCCCTGTAATAGGATTGTTTACTTTTATACCCAGAATGTCAGGAAAACACTGAAGTCTGCGAGTGGTGTGTGCGAAGGCAGACTTTGAGCAGTTCGTGCTATGAGACCTGAACTCCTTATGAAGTTATCCAAGCCAAAAAAAAAATGTGTGTGCTAGATGTGTCTGTGACAGGATCAAGTGCACTTTCATTATCAAGGAACAGAAAATCCGTGTGAAAGTGTTGAAGGCACATGCAGAGTCAGAAAGCAAAATAAATAGTAAGCTTTTTTTTTTTTTTTTTTTTTCCTTTGAGACAGTTTTGTTCTGTGTAGCCCTGGGTGTCCTGAAACTCACTCTGTTGTAGACCAGGCTGAACTCACAGAAATTTGCCTTCCTCTACCTCCGGAGTGCTGGCATTGAAGGCATGCATCACCACTGCCTAACATTATGAAGCTTTTTAATTAAAGTAATAAAAATCAAGTTTTAGCCAAGAGACAGAGGTAAATGGATCTCTGCAAGTTCAAGGCCAGCCAGAGCCACATGGAGATCCTGCCTCAAAAAATAAAAGAAAGGATTAAAAAAAAGTTAAATTAAAAGAGCTGGGTATGGTTATGCACTCCTTTAATCCCAGCACTTGATTTGTTGTTTTGTTTCGTTTTTTCGAGACAAGGTTTTACTCTGTAGCCATTGCTGGCCTCAAACACCCTGAGCTCCACCTGCCTCTGCCTCCTGAGTGCTTGGGATTAAAGATGTGTGCTACCGGGCTGGAGAGATGGCTCAGAGGTTAAGAGCACTGGCTGCTCTCCTAGAGGTCTTGAGTTTAATTCCCAGCAACCACTTGGTAGCTCACAGCCATCTCTAATGAGATCTGATGACCTCTTCTGGCCTGAAGACATACATCCAGGCAGAATACTGTATACATAATAAATAAATGTAAGGAAAAAAAAAAAAAACGATGTGTGCAACCACACCTGGCCTTCACCTAGTCACCTAACATGTTCTGGGATCAAATAGGGCTATATATAGCAAGATGCTGTTTTTAAAAACAAACAAAGGCCGAAAAGCAGCATGGCCAAGCATGGCCTTATGCCAGTGTAATCCCAGAATCTGGGAGAGTAAGGCAGGAGCATAAATTCAAGATCATTCTGGGCTACACAGTGAGACCCGACTTTTAAAAAAGAAAAGAAAGCAAGCTTGGTTCAATGCTTGTGATCGAAGCATTTGGAAGGTGGAGACAGGAAGATCAAGAGTTCAAGTTCCTTCTGGGCCACAGTGTTGGGGCTAGACTGAACTACAGGAGACACTGTCTTAAAAAAAACAAAAGCAAAAGCGAACAAAAAGCAGGCAGTAGGCTGGGTTGGCTGCTGGCCCCTAAGGCTGTTCTGTGCTCATCCTAGGTGAATGTAGCTGTGACCTTGGGGATTGTGGTGAAAAGAGAGGCTCAACTTTGGTTGTTGTTGAGTTTCCATCAACTGTGCATTTGTCACTGAGCTAATGAGGAACTAGGGTCCTTTTAGACCAGCTGGTGGGTTCATGCTCATCTCGAGTGTAACATGCAGGAGGTGCCAGCTTCCTCAATAAGTCACCCAAAAACTTGGCAGGCTACCTTGTGTCTGTCTCCTTCCCTTTCCAGGCTCACTCATTTCTTCCTCCATGGCACAAGTTTTAGAGAGACACATTTTCCCATTTCGTAGACGAGCAAAGAAAGGTCAAAGGTTCACTTGTTGGTAGGGGGGTGCAGGTTTAACCTGGAGGTTTTCTGTCCCAGTCCAGGGCTGGTTCCCTTTTCTCTGGGATGTTGTGAGAGGCATGGAGTTCACTGCTGAGGTGGAAGGCTGGACTTTGTTCAGCAGGAGGCACCTGTTCTTTTCCGTTGGTGATGTGGTGTCTCCGCCTCGTATTTAATGCTTGTCCACTCCCTAGCTCTTGTGTGCTAAGCCTCTTTCTTTCAGGTTCTTGCTATAGAATCGTGAGCAAGATTGCACTCATGGTGCTTACCAGAGTTGGAGGGAAGGAGGATAAGAAAGCAGAAGTGCAGTGTTTAACAGTCATGATCAGTGCTGGGGGTAAAAAAGCATCGTTATATTCTGGACACTGTGCCGGTTATTTGAGGAGTCATGTGGTTTATTCCTCACAGTCACTCTAGCAGAAGGGCTAACAAGATGAAGACCGTGGTTCAAAGAAACCAAGTTAATGCTGCCTTCACAGACTAGGGAATGAAAAATTTTCCCCCTCTCTTCTTGTTTTTTGTTTTGTTTTGTTTTGTTTTTGAGAAAGGTTCCCACACTGTGGTCTAGCCTTGCCTAGAACTCACTATATAGTCCATGCTGGCCTTTAAACTCATGATCCTCCTGCGACACTCAGCCTTCTGATTTACAGGTGTACATCACCTTCGTGGTTTATGCAGTGCTGAGAGTAAAACTGGTTTGTATGTACTAGGCAAGCACTCTACCAATTGAGCCAAATTCCTAGTCCGAGAAATGAGACTGTATATGAATGTGCGTGGGTGCGTGGGTGCCTGCCTGTGTGGGCAGCTGGCAGCCTGGGGTGTCTTCCTTAGGAGTCATCCATCTTGGTTTCAGAAGGCAGAGTTCCTCCCTGATGTGGAGCTCCATGAGTGTAAACTGGCTGGCCCTGGAGCCCTGGAGCCCCATTAGTCTCCTCGGCACTGGAATCACAAGTGCATCACACCCTCACACCCTCACACCCTCACACTTTGCCTTTTGTATGTGAGTTCTGGAGATTGAACTCATGTCTTCATGCTTGCAAAGCAAATGCTTTGCAAACTGAGCCATCTTCCTAGCCCCAAGTAAGACTGTGTTTATTTATTTAGAGCTGGGTGTGGCAGCACATGCCTATGATCCCAGCACTCGGGGACGCAGAGGCAGGCAGAGTTCAAGGCCAGCCTTGACTCTACAAAGCACGTCCAGGACATCCAGAGGCTACACAAAGAAACCCTGCCTCAGAAAAACAATAACAAACAAACAAAAACCATATTTAGAAATAAATATTTATTTTTTTATTTTAAAAATTAATTAATTTTTTTTTCATGTATGAGTGTTTAGCCTGCATATATGTATATGACCCATGTGCCTGCAGAGGCCAGAAAAGGTGTCAAATCTTATGGAACCGAAGTTACAGGTAGTCATGAGCCACCATGTGGTACTGGGGATTGAAACCAGATCACCTGAAAAATCAAGTGCTCATAACCATTGAGCACTCTTCAGCTTCCTAAGGGAGGAGTACTGATTAATTTATTTACATAATCTGAAACAGGACGGGGATTCCAGGTGTGCACCACTATGCCTGACTCCAAGTGATTGAGAGACTTTTAAACTGTTGATTGTCTGGAGAGATAAATACTCTTAATGCTGTAGACAGAAAGGCCTTGTTTGTTGTACTGAGGCGTTCATTGGCAGGGAGTTTTAAGTAGAAAAACGTCCGTGGTTGGGTCTGTGTTTCAGAAAGCTCACCCTGGCTGCAGTGTCTGGGTGAGTGAAGGGGGGTCCTGGACAAATCAGAAGGCAGCTTGGAGAGCAGTTACAAGGACTGCAGTGATGGGGGAAGGAGGCAGCGGTCAGGGTCAGGAATACTGACATGGTACAGTGTCTCAAGGGTTACTGTTGCAACGAAGAAAAATCATAACCAAAGTAACTGGGGGAGCAGAGGGTTTACTTCACTCACAGTTCCACAGCACAGTTCATCGTGGAAAGCAGTGTGGACAGGAGCTCAAGCAGGGCAGGAACCTGGAGGCAGGAGCTGGTGCAGAAGCCGTGGAGGGGTGCTGCTTACTGGCTTGCTCCTCATGGCTTGCTCAGCCTGCTTTCTGAGAGAACCCAGGACCATCAGCCCAAGGATGGCCCCACCCACAATGGGCTAATTAAGAAAATCAATCATTAATTAGAAAAATGCTGTAGCAATGGTTCTCAACCTGGAGGTCGCACAGGAGTCTCCTAAGACCATTTGAAAACACAGATAATGACATTACAGTTCATACAGTAGCAAAACTTCAGGTATGAAGTAGCAATTAAAATAATTTTATGGCTGGGGGTCACCTCAACACAAGGAACTATATTAAGGGGTGGCAGTGTTAGGAAGGTTGTGAGCTGCAGAGCTATGGGCTAGCCCGCCACCGGGTCCTATGGAGGCATTTTCTCAGTTGGGTCTCCCTACCCTGACAACTGTAGGTTGTGTCAAGTTGACATAAAACGGGGCTGTACACACAGTCATTGGCAGGCTCGGAGTAAAGGCGAGAGTGGGGAGCACTGTGGGAGAAGCCACTGCTGGCCGTGGGAGTGCCCCCTCATAGGATCTGGAGCCCTGTGCTGGCCCCAGTGAACAGACTGTATGTTCTATGCCCAGGGAGTCGCCGGCTGGTGGATGTGATGGACGTGAACACCCAGAAGGGTACCGAGATGAGCATGTCCCAGTTTGTGCGTTACTACGAGACACCAGAGGCACAGCGGGACAAGTTGTACAATGTCATCAGCCTCGAGTTCAGCCATACGAAGCTGGAACATCTGGTCAAGCGCCCCACTGTGGTATGCCAATGCCCCCGTGCCACCTTCCATCCTTGCCTGCCCCCTACTCACCTCCCACGAGGTCTGCCCCTACATTGCTTTCTTCATGAGACGGAGCAGCTAGGTGGGCGTGGCTGAGGCTGGTCCCTTGGGGGTGTGGCGGGGAAGTGTAGAGCTGGGTTGGATCCCGTGCCTGGAAGGGTGGCATGGGTGAGGTGGCCTCGCTGATGGTACCCAGGGACTCCTCAGGCAACGGGGTGGTTCTTTCTGGACCGTCTGCAGGAGGTGTGGGCGTTGCTTACAATGGTCTGGCTTTCAGGTGGACCTGGTGGACTGGGTGGACAACATGTGGCCCCAGCACCTAAAGGAAAAGCAGACGGAAGCCACAAATGCCCTTGCAGAGATGAAGTACCCCAAAGTCAAGAAGTAAGATTGCTGGGCTGGTGTTGGGACTGGGCAGGGGTGGGACCCCGACCTTGTGGGCATTGGCCACAGACTTCCTGGTCCTCGATTCAGGTCTCAGTGTTGCTTTAGAGGTAAAGAATTGCCCCCCACACACACACACTCAGCTGGACCATGGTGGTGATGTGAGAGATGAGTTCCCGAGTGTGAACAAACCAGCATGTCATCTCCCTGGGCCTGCAGGCTCCATGATGGGTCAGGCCTTCTTTCTTCTTGGCCCCGGGGCCTCCACACAGCTTCTCTTGGGGTAGTGATCTGAGGAGAGTGGTACGAGCTGCCTCAGTGGTGTCCATGCTTGTGCACGGGTACACACTTATCTGTTCTTGAAGCCTTGGTCTGTACCCTCAGGTGACAGTGGCCTGGCAGTGGCAGTTTTAGAGGGACAGGTCCACATGGACACTGGTTTTGTCTAGTCTCTCTCTTTCTGTGTGTGTGTGAGTGCCTGAATGTATAGATGTGCTCCACGTGTGTGCCTGGTGCACATACAGACGTGAAAGGACATGTATATACTGCCGGAAGGACAGGGGTTATGTGGATGCTGGGAACTAAGGCTGAGCCCTCTACAAGAGGAGCAAGTGCTTTGAACCACAGAGCCATCTGTCCATCCCATTTCTCTCCTCTTTGGTGTTGAGACCTAGAACCTCTGATCCACAAGCACCTTTCCCAAGCAAAGCTCAGTGTCAGCTTAGTCACCTGACATGCCTTCAGTGGTGCCCTGTGGGTTTGAGGGTGGCCAAGGCAGGGAGGGTTTGAGAGCAGAGACTTCAGTACAGATCACGGTATGTTCTGAGCCTGCTGTTCAGTATGGACGGGGGTGCTTGGGAGTCCTCTCATATTAAGGGATTTGAATAATGGACCATCTGGAGGAGGAAGTCACCTTGGATACTCCTGCCATTACAGACCCTCTGCTTCTCTCCCTGAAATGGGAAGGAGATGCCAGCTTCCCAGAAAGACTGGTGCTGGCAGCCTGGCTCCATTAGCATCTCCGCTGAATCCTGCTGCCGGCAATGCCCCCAGGAAGTCTCAGCCGTGAACTCCTCGGCCCTGCAGCCCTCCATTGAGCCTGTGTGGAATGCAGACCACGTGCCAGGCTTTGCGAGGCAGGCTAGCACTTTCACCCTGGATTTCTCAGTGTTCCTCTCCTCCTGTCTCTCTCTCATTAATTCATGGGCATCTTCCCCTCTAAGCTAAAGTTCAATGTATTCTTTGGATTTGGGCTGCATCAAAGGCAGAGGATGGGGTCCAGGTGCAGAGGGAGGGGAGCAGGGCTTGTTTCCAGTTTTGTTCCGTTCTGATTCAGTCATAGCAGAATGCTCTGAGATGGGTGGATAAAGGGATGGATAAGGCTAAGGGCCTCCACCCTCATTCACCCTGTGTAGCTCATGCCATGTAGCACATGCGTCCATGTTTTTAGGCAAAGAGAAACAAATCCAGACAGGTGAATCCTTCTGAGCTCTTGTTCTCAAGGGGTCTTCTTGGAGGGCAGGACCCAGTTCACTGCGGGGGTGGGGGGAGTTATTTATTCTTTGCTTTGTTTTGTTTGAGACAGGGTCTCTCTACCTAGTTCTGCCTGTCCTGGAACTCACTCTGTAGACCAGGCTAGCCTGACCTCCGCCTCCCAAGTGTGGGGATTGAAGGCCACTATGCCTATTTTTCTTTAAAAAAAAAAATTACTTATTATCATTGTGTGGGCATGTACCATAGTGTGCATCCCCAAGTCAGAAGTCAGGTTTTTGTGGGTACCGAGCGCTTTCAAGTGGCCAGGCATGAGCAGTAAATGTAGACCTGCTGGGCCACCTCTGCTTCCTAACTGGGCTTTGGGGGGCAGAGGAAATGTGAGGGCTGGGAAGGGATTGAGAGGGAGAAGTGGTGAAGACGGAGCTGAAGGAAAGAAGCAGGTTACGAGTGATCCAGTGACCATCTCCATTCATTCATTCATTCATTCATTCATTCATTCATTCAGCAACAATGAACTGAGCATCTTAGTTGTGCTAAGGACACCGGGTGGGGAAACTTTGTAATGGAATGGTCAATTTATGGAGGGACAGATGTGACTCCAACAGTGACAGAAATACATGCAAACTGAATTCTGGGGCTGAGACCACCAACAGAGGTAGGAGATGTCTTGGTACTGGTCTGAGGTGAATCAGCTGGTAAGGGTCTCTCAGTTGATCCCATAGCTTCCCAATATAGCTAGCCTGGCTTAGCCAGATCACTTCAGAGATCTCCTGTCTTGGGCTCGTATGGTACTAGAACCTAAGACAGGCTGCCACACCCTGGGATTTATGTGAGTTTTGGGGATCTGAACTCCGGGCGTCATTTATGCAGTTTCCCTAGTTTGGGGGAGGGTGGGTTGAGGGGGTGTCAATATATAACCCAGTCTGCGCTCAGAGTTTATGATCCTTGTGTGCGCAACTACAGCAGTTTTCATCCCCCCACCCAACTCTGTTCCCCGAGATCTAAGCAGAACAGGATGCATTCTTGTGGGTTTGCATTCTGCGAATGCTCCTGCTGTGTGGATTGGAGGTGTGAGGAGGCTGCCGCCTGGCCTACATCTCAGGGAAGAGGTGATCGCACCTGGGCATATCTTTAGGAAGTAAAATAGATTGTGCTGGGTGGTATGCATTCCTAGTAAGGGCGGCCCCGCCTTTTTGAGGTATTCATTACAGTCTTCGCTTTATGGAATGATTCCTTTAAACGGTTAGACCTACACGCATTTAGAGACTCTTAAGTACCAGAACAATGGGGTATAAATATGTGACTTTTTAGCCCACACGTCTCAGATGTATTGGTGAGATTATGTGTCAAATAGATTTTTCAAACTCCATCTGTGGCCATGGGAACTTATTATAGGATTTGAACCTTGCTAGGAAGGACATTGTCACCTTGAAGATAGTCCATTTGTTTTCCTGAAAAGAAGGCTGATCTCAAATGTTCATAAGCAAGGTGAAAAAAAAAAAATCCCACCATGATGGAGTCCTCTGGGACTGTGGAATGGTTCTGTGGAATTTAATTAAAATGACATTGTTTCTGGAAATCACAGTGCTTCCTCGCTGGAGGCGCCTACTGAACAGACAGCTGACAGGCCTCCTGAATGGAAGGGAGGTTTGCGGACGCGGAGGGGACTTGTGACAAACACTAAGGCTTTTTTCCTGCCTCTGGGGTTTGGTCAGAGGTTTAGGAATTTTAATAGGTTTCAGTTGAGAGTCTTGAGGCGGGGGAAGGGGAAGGGAACCCAGGTATCTGAGACTTGGAGATGAAAGAGTTCTAGCGGGTTTTTTTGCATCAGTTACCATGCAAAAGCCTGCTTTAAGTTAGTCGTCAGGCCGCAGTGCGTAAAGCTAAGGCCCCATGGAGCATATATTGTGACAGGCCGGGCAAGGCATAGAGGGAATGATACAACTTAGTAAGTGTCTCAAAGGAACATAGAACAGTAGGGCATAAAGGAGAGGGAGAACAAAGGGTTGGACTGATGAGTACTGCTATCGCCCTCCATTTCTGCTGTTGCCTCCTTCCCCTCGTCTCTTCCCTGCAGAGAGGCTGTGAAGAATTATCCTAGAACAGTTCTCCCTGGACAGTGACTACCCTGGGGAGTATCCTTGCCCCGGCTGGGCTGTTTCTGGTTGCTCACAGCCATTACCCTTAACTTTAACATCCTAAAGGAAAAAAAAAAAAAATCAACAGAGGCAGGTGTGGTGCCTCATCCCCGAAATCCTACCAGCACATGAAAGGGCTACAGCAAGAAGATCACTGTGCGTTCAAGTCGGAAACAAACACCCCATTCACCCTACCCCATCCCCAAAGTCTAAGACACCACAGGTGCTGTCAGTTTCTGAAGACCGGGAATCTAAAAGCAGCGGGATGGTCTTTTGCTCCAGGGCTTTTGGGAGCTTATGCCAAGGCTTAGGTCTTAAGGTTAAAGCCTGGCTAAAGGATATACTTCTGAAATGGAGCACTCCCGTGGCTGTTGGCAGGAAGCCATCGAAGGTTGAGTTCCTCACCATGTGGAACACTCCACAAGGCTGTTTGAATTGTCTCTCCCGCACGGCAGCTGGTTCCCAAGAGTGATTGCTTCCGGGAAGACCCAAGAGGACACAGTGACCTAATTTTAAAAGTCATATCCTGTTTATTTCTGTTGTGTTCATTAATTAGTCCAGCTCATATTCTAAGGGATACCTCTTTTTTTTTTGTCCCCCTTTTTGTGGTCTCTTTGAGACAGGGTAGCCCAGGCTGGCCTCAAATTCAAGCCAAGGATGATTTTAGCTTCTCTGATTCCCATGCTTCAACCTCTGAACTGCTGGGGTACAGGCATGTGACCCATGTCTCGTTTTTTTAATTTTTTACTTTTTTTTAAATTTATTTTCGAGACAGCGTTTCTCTGTAGCCTCAGCTGTCCTGGACTCACTTTGTAGAACAGGCTGGCCCCGAACTCACAGAGAGTCTCCTGTCTCTGCCTTCCCCAGTGCTGGGATGACAGGCGCGTGCTGGTCTTTAAATTTTTTTAAATTAATATTTGTTTTCTGTGAGTGAATGTTTTGCCTATGTGCTCACATGCACACACACGCACACATACACACACGTACTATGTGGCTCTGCAGAGGTCAAAAGAGGGTACCTGGTCCAGGTTGTCTATTCCTGGAACCCGGTAACAGTTGTCAGCCACCATGTGTGTGCAGGGTCCCAAGCCTAGGTTTTCTACAAGAGCAGCAAGTGCTCCTTAGCACTGAGCCATCTCTCCAGCCAAGTCCTGTTTCTCTGTGGTGCTGGGGATGGAACACAGGGCTTCATGCTACATGCCCAGCCCCTCCCTTTTGTTTCTTTGGTGCTGAGATGAAACGCAGAGCCACGAGTGCTCTCCCACTGAGCTGTAGGGCCAGCTTAGGTTGGCGCTGCCACCTTGAGGCAGGGGGAGCTCCGAGGCAGGGCGGGCTCGGTGTTAAATTAAATTCCGGGGCATGTTTTGA